GGTATGCAGCAATATCCCATATATCCCATAAAAAATCAGTAAAACTGGATTAAAATGCAGGTATTTAACAGGATGCAATTTTATGGGTCAGAGAAAGCCTTAACCAAAAGATGTGGGTTGCATCCAATGCTAGGTCCATTTAGAGTAGACTCATTGAAATTATTGACAGTGACTAACTTATGTCTATTAGAGTATGGGTCTACTCTAAGTAATTGTTAATTGGATACACTCCTGTGTTTTACAAGATGTTTGAAAAAGTGATGGTGGAACAATGCCCCCCATATCCCTTTAGATCCCTTGATCTTTACTTCCATTTGGAATAGTGATGGCTTCATTGAACAATTCACAGAGATCTAGCAGCATATACAGTAAAAGCACCCAAGATACTGCAGTTCTTAAAGCAAAATATTGGAGATGTCATCCCTACTAGAATAGATGGGATGTGGAGCTGAGCTCAGCATTTATGGCAAAATTAATGAATTCTGCAAAGACTAAGAGGTGGGGAGAGAAAGCAAAACTTGAATAATTTTAATGCAAATTGGATGTCATTTATTGATTTCTGTAGAATCAATTGTTTATAGCCCAAGGCTAACCTCTGTTTCTCAATCTTTTAAAGTTAATGTTAAATTCAAAAGTTTATGTGTTCTGTATTAATTTGTTTATAACCACCATCCTAAACGTTACCTTATTCTTGGGATATTTAATGACTTAGGCTGCAGTCGTAACCCTACTTTCTAAAACCCTAGAGTCATTTGCTGATATATGTTTCTCTTGTACTTTTACTGTTTCTTCAAACCAGGCATGTCCAAAGTCCATTTCGGGGGCCTAATCCGGCCCACTGGTCAGTTAAATCCAGCCCCAACTTCAATCCTAAAAAAAGGTCAACAACTTTGGGTGGCCCTTTGGGCGGCCCTGGTGGCCCTTCACTTCATCAAATCTGGCCCTCTTTGAAAAAAGTTTGGACACCGCTGCTTCTAAACCAATTAAATACTAGTAATGGAAAAGAAAAGGATCCAAAAAATATCTGAGCAGGATTCAGTGGGAAAGTTAGTCTGTCTGTTGCAGCAAAAATAACAGTGAGTCCTGCAGTACCTTAAAGATTAACAAATCTAAAACTTATGCATAAGCTTTCATGCATTTGATGAAGTAGACTCGACATACACAGAAGCTTATGCCACCTCAAATTTATTTAAAGTGCCGTAAAGTTGACGTTTTTGATGTGTTCCCGTTAGATAATCAGAGGTTTTATTATAGCACTCTCATTTCTTTCCCTGCTGTTTATTTGTGCATTTCACCTTGACTTTTCCACTCACTAAAAAGAGAGCAGTTTTGCAGGCTTCCATTCCAAGCAGTCCATGGTCTTCCTGGCTGTAACGCCAGCATCATTAGAAGTTGATTTAGGTGCACCAGTTATGTCTATGTCAATCACCCTTTACTCAGAATGAGGCAGTAACACTAAGGAGGTAGAATTCTGCTCAGTGCTGAAGGTGAGGGATCATGCTTCTCCCACCCAACATGATAAATTAATTACCATAACAATTTGGTCCTATGCTAATGTACTGCATGGTGGAAAGTGTTTTTCAGATGTACAGCAGAATGCATATGTATGTATGACTCACACACAGTAAAGTGAATGACTCTGGGGTTACAGCGCTCATCTCGCTTTACTGGCCGAGGGAACCAACGTTTGTCTGCAGAGTTTTTCCAGGTCATATGGCGAAACCAGAGCAGCACATGGAAATGCTTTTTACCTTCCCGCCAGAGTGGTACCTATTTATCTACTTGCACTTTGACATGCTTTCAAACTGCTAGTTTGGCAGGAGCTGGGACTGAACAACAGGAGCTCACCCCATCACAGGGATTTGAACCGCCGACCTTCCAATTGGCAAGCCCAAGGCTCGGTGGTTTACATCACAGCGCCACCCATGTCTTAGTTCAGACCTAAATGGGTTTTATTATTTATTTTTGAAAAATGAGCAAGGAAACCCCTAAATTGGTGTCTTAATCATGGGCATAGCCAAGTGGGTGGGAGGGGAGCTGCTCCCCAAAATCAAATAAGTAGAAATAACTGCTCAACTGTGTTGCAGATAACTTGGTTCTGCCCCCCCCCATGCCTGCCCCCCTAAAATAAATCCTGGCTATGCTCAAGGTATTACTATTCCAACAAAATGAGTGACTAGGCATGTGCAGAGTGCCTTTCTTTCAAATTCCTACTCTGAGCGCTTGCACACACATTAATATACCCTTGGCATAAATCCAATCACCTATTTCAAAAGTTGACACAAGTGTGATTAATCTGTGGCCCTAGGAGTAGGGCTTCATGCAGCCTAGTTTCAAAAGTCCTCTGCAACAAACAATTTAAACATCTGGCAAAACAAACAGTGCAGTGCAGTGCAGTGCAGTGAAAGAGAGAGAGAGCCCACCCATAATTAATAAGTGAGCCCTCGTAGGTTGCCTTCTGAGGGACTGTGGCTCTCACCAGCTATAAACAGCAACAACAGTTCCCTACATGTGGGTGAAGACACTGCTCTTCAGCTAGTGGATTGGGACCTCTAGGAGGATCTGCAGTCAAATCACAAATGCATGATTGCTAGATAGTCATGAACAGGGGACTCTAAGATCCCATATCCCCAAACTTGCGTGGTGGAAATGGAAACAATAGAAACTTAACCTTTACTTCTTCATCCTGTCACCGCACTCTTCTTACCTGCAATGGGGTAGGATGTCTGCTAAGCTCTCTGGGGAATGCACTCCATTTTGAACTGGACTATGGACTTTTGTAACTTTTAAGAATTATTGCCTGTCTGATTTTCATCACTGTAATTGTTGAATCTGAGCAAGACTATGATGTGAGTAAACCTTGTATTTTTCCTGTTTACTTAAACAGTCTGAGTAATTTCTTTGTTAAGAGGGAAACATAAAGAGGGAGAAGGTGATCCAAGTCTGCCTAAGCATCCTTGGATATCATAATTGTTGTAGAAAGTTATGCAACCTTGTCCCAAATAGCTTCTAAATATAAGCTATACACAGTGGTGATTTTTAACTCTGCCGAATTACTGTACGTACTTGCATTCTCACACATGTGAAAAGAGAAAGGACATTTATTAAATAAATTATCCTCTCCTTCTCATTAAAATCTATCCAATCCACTTACTGGATCACAACCTGAACCAAGGTGGGCTGCAACAGGAGAATGACCACCATACAATCATATGGTAAAAGATTAGGAAATGGGTCCCCAAATGGATTTTTGGGTGGAAAGTGGGTCCTGGATCTGAAAAGATTGGAGATACCTGGTTTAATAGACCTTTATCAGACTGCATCAAATTAACCCAAGTGTTGGGCACTTTTGGCGCTCCAGATGCTGATGAATCACAGTTCCTATCATTCATGGCCATTGGCCACACTTCTTGGGGCTGATGGGAGTTGTAGTTCAGCAGCATCTGGAGGGTCAAATGTTCTCCATGCCTTGGCTACCACAAGACTACGAAGGAGGTAATTATTGTTAGAGTTTTTTTGGGGGGTGGGGTAGTCTGTCCTTAACCCTAAATTTAGTAAAGGGGTAGAATTTAGCTGATTTTTGGAGTATGAAAGGAAGATACCAGGCCAGTGCAAAATACAGGCTGGACCAGTTCTCCTGTTCAGGAGATCACTGATAGTGATACCATTAGCAACACAAGGAGCACTAAGTACTGAGCCATGCAAATACTCTCCTTCCCCTGGCTTGTGGAAGTGGACAAAAGCAGAAGAATTGAGAAGGGGGTGGCCAGGGGTAACACAGTGGTGTGTTGTTACCACATGAAGAAAGGTGTCCTTTTGAAACAGGACTGGTTTTCTGCAAGTGCTACTGGGAAGGAGGGGGAGAAAGTGGGCAGAATTCCATGTGGGGACTGAAGGGCAGCAGCCATGCTGGCTGGCTGGAGCAGTCTATTATAGAGACACAGGGATGGTGCTTAGAGTGCCTCTGAATCCACTGTTGTGCTGCTGGGAAGACAAGCCCCTCTTGGGATGCAAATGCTATGAAATTTCAGCACAGCACTAGTAGTTTTGCAACTCTAGTTTTGCAACCCAGTCCAGACGCTGCCCCTTTGCTTCATTTCAGTGTGCAACTCACTCCTTCTCTGTATCCTGTGGCACCACTCTTTACAGTGAAATTTACAGTGCATCAGGTGATGTGGGCCATTCTTCTGCCACAATTACTGTTAGCTTGAAAGATACCACAAGATGCTGTTTGTGCTGGGCCAAGATTAACCCATTTAATTTACATGATCCATTTAATTGGGAATTACACGGGCTGTGCTAGTGAATGGTTCCTTAGATGTTAAGGAGGGATATGACCCTCCAGATGTTGTTGGACTCCCATAAGCTCCAGCAATCAGCAAAGTCAATGGTTAGGAATAATGGTAGTCCAACAGTGTTTGGAGAGCTACAAGTCCCCCACTCTTGAGTTGAAGGGTGTTATGTCCTCCTCATCTGATTGGGATTATTCCAGGGGAAATGTGTGATGATTTCCTGCCTGCCTATTCTTAATGAGGACACCAGAGGTGTGATTTCCCTTTTCACTATTCTACTCTGCCAAGCTTTTGAGAGGAATCACTTTCAGTGTTATCCCAACACATCCTCTTCACACTCTTTTTGTTTCATTATCTTGGCTCCAACAATTATTTTCCACCAGAGGCAGGCTTAAAGTTGCTCACTGTTGCATGTGGAAGCTCTTCAGGCAATAAATGAGATGCTCAAGCAAAGCTTCTCACAGCCTTGCTTCCTGAAGATGCCCAGGAGCATCTGGTGGGGTTGCCATCACTGAAATGGATGGATTTCACCATTCAGCATTGGTTTCTTCACCATCAATGTGTTTAGTTTCAAATGTAGCAATCAGACAAGGGCTTACATGGGAGTAAGCCCTACAAAACATAATGAGTCTTACTTCCAATCGTTTATAGAATTGGCTGTAAATAGTAAATCATGAATGGGAAATATTGAAGACACGCAACAAAAAATTGTGTATGCAGCTTTGTTTTAACTTTATTGACTAGCTTGATTTCACAGACTTCATTGTTGTTATTATTGTTAGTCGCCATCCAAGGTTTCCAGAACAACTTTGAAAGTAGCTTTGACATATATATATTTCCCCCCCTTCCCTACTGGCTTCCCTGCTTTTTTAAAATTTGATTTGATTTGAATTTTAATATACGTAGGTATCTACTTGGGTTTGAATCAGTCAAATTGCACGTTGCTCTGGGACTCATTAGAAGACACCATGCTTAGTTTGGTAGCAGCCAGTGGGACACATGGCAAGCGTTAGGGTTCCTTTGCATCAAAAGGGGAGGGGGGAAACAGAGGCATAGAGACAATTAACTTCTTTAAACCTAAGAACAGTAGGGGGATTTAAATACATGGCACAGCAATTTTAGCTCAGTCACTTAAACTATCTGGGAAACCTACATCCAAGTCTATATCAATCCTTCTTCTTCTCTTTAGGGGCTTCTTCTTCACCAGCATCCTCTTGCTCATCTTCACCTTCCTTTTTCTCTCCCTCATCTGCTTCCTCAGCAGCCTCTTCTTCTCCTCCCTCTTCTTCTTCTCCTTCTCCTTCTCCGCCTTCGCCTTCTTCCTCTTCTCCTTCACCCTCTTTAGATTCTTCTTCCGTGGCTCCTGGAAGAAAAGGCACAACAACAAAAAAAGAGTGAATGGTTCGCTGCAGCATGAAGTAGGCAGAGTTGGCAATGGATGCTGTTCTATAGTCACTTGGGGAAGACCAGGAGTAAGCCCTGCTTGAAAGGATTTCATGGTAATACATTTCTCAACATGAGAAGGCAAAGGGAGGGGGCAGAAGGCAAGGACAGCAGCTGCCCCCCTCACTTCCCGGGCCTTCCCAACATGGATGGTTCAGGCAACACAAGTAATTTCTCATGAGTAAATGCAGGAAAAAGGGGGGGTGAAAGTGGGGGAGGATACCATGCCTCAGAGCAAATGTTCAGCTGTGCCCTGGCCTCATCTCTTGGATTATATGAGAAGAGCAGGCAAGTAGCATAGTAGATTATGGGTTGTAGTCAATGCTGATTCTGCTCCAAACAGACCCACTGAAGTCCACAGACACAGAATCACAGAATTATAGAATTGTACAGTTGGAAAGGACCCCAAGGGTCAACTAGTCCAAACTCCTACAATGCAGGAATCTCAGCTAAAGCATCCATGACAGGTGGCCATCCAACCTCTGCTTAAAAACCTCTAAGGAAGGAGAGTGCACCAACTTCAGAAGGAGTTCGTTCCACTGGGGAACAGATCTTACTTTTGGATTAGTACAAAGAGGGTGGGTTTAAATTGCAACAAGGGGAAACTCTATTTTGTCCAGAAGGCAGGTGCTTTCAAGACAGTGCTTCTTGAAAATAAGTCAAAGTTTATGAAGAACTTTTTGGATTAGTCAGACATCCAGTGGAAGTGAGGTTCATTCATTTCAGTGCATCCACTCTGAATAGGACTAGCATTGGATACAACCCTATGTTTGCTCTACTTATTAATCTGAATGAGAAGGTTCCTTTAAACCAGTTTCTGTGCATGCCCAGGGATACTATGCACCATGATGGAGAAGAAGGGGGTTCATGCTTTACCTCAAGTAGCAGAACATATTGGGCCAGCCCTGTTTCTGAAGTCTTCAAAATAGATTTAAAAAATAATTTTTCTGATTTTAGCTAATCTTGGATTCTTTGATTCTGCAAATAGTTCTGTTTAAATGGAATAAATAATACACTGGAACCAACAGCACTCTGCTCCACAATGGACACCATCTCGTTGCAGCAAATGGAACCAAAGCAAATCCAGATAAGAAACTTCAAATGTGCAGGCTTCTGAGATTAACTCACTAGTGTGTTGTTTTTTTTTAAAAAAAAATCCTTACATATCATACTATGTTTTTCATATCAGCAAAAGTGTTGTTGTTGTTTTTATAAAAATCAGAAATCAATATCTACAGGCTAAAGCTCCTCTACTGGCTAGCAAGGCCAATCTTACACCTTAATAACTGTTGATATATACTATTGTTGTACTGTGTATTTTGGGTCTATGTACCACAATAAAGCTGTGTGTGTGATTTTTATAAAAAGCTAAACCTTAATAATAGGAAATGAATGACATAATTCAGCTATAAGTGTCATAATTTGGGGCTAAAACATCCCTAAATTTAAAAGTTCAGCCATTTCAAAATATGTGAACTTATTAAAATTTCAAATTTTGCTCTTTTTGTTAGGGAAGGGAGAAAACAGCAACTGTACCTTCTTCCTCTCCTTCCCCTTCTCCCTCTCCCTCTCCTTCCCCTTCTTCTTTCTCCTCTTCCTCTCCTTCTGAAGGGGGAGACTCTTTGGCCTCTTCTACTTTGGATGCTTCAATCGTCTCCTCCACTTCAATCTGTTCTTCTTGCACATGGCTGGAGTAATAGGCAGGGAAGGAGCGGGCGGACATCAAGTAGGAACTGCTCTGCAAACCGCTGTAGGCTGACCTTCCAAAGGTGGAGCCGCTCTGTGTATAACCACTGCTAATGCTGCCAACACTGGTGAAACTAAGCCGGGTCTCTTCACCTTCCAGAAGTTTCCTGGGGGAGGGGGAGGAAGAAGCACATGAGCATCAGGCGATTGGCATAATTGAAACCAAGATGGAAATTTATTAAAGAAGATTGCTATTAGACAATAATATCATGTCAATGGATTTACCATGAGTGAGTAAAATGCATGCGCGCACACACACAAATCAATCATATTTACATGCACAAACCAAAGAAGCAGCCCTGAGGAGATGGCTTCTGCTCTCAGAAAGCAAGCAGTCTGGGCCCAGGGGCATAGAAGCACCCATTTCAAGCTTGCCACGCTCTTCTGACATCATCAAACAGATCTCTATTCTCTACTTTTTGCCTTCTACTCACCTTCCCTTGTCTTTGTAACACTGAGGGCATGGCCTGATCTTCTATTTGTCTGAAGCTATAATTTTATAAAATTTATATAATCTGCTGAGCTTCAGTTTCCAAAATGCACCCTTTGGGTGCCTTCCAACTACTCCCAGAACCTGTCTGAGAGTCAGGGGGCCCCCATCTTCTCCATCTGGTGCCATCTGTTGAGGAGCTATGCATGATCATCACCATCAAAGCTGAGCAACCATTTCTTTGAGGCAGAGTCTTCATCTGCTCAAAGAAACTGCAGATGACCAAGGCTGTATGTGGCATCATTTGGGGGCAGGATTCATGATTCATGTCAGCTGAGGACTGATACTCAGATGTTCATTTTCACATGGGATCACCCTCACTAGATGATTGTGATGGTGGTGAAGCTGCCTTCAAAGTGCCTTCATGAACTTCAGGGCCTTCATGGCCATACTGTCAATACTTTCATACTTTCAATGGCCATGAAGTCTGGTCATAAAATCTATTTAGAAGCTTTGTCAATTTTTAAATCTTCACTGGTCTGTGAAAGACCAATGCAGCTCACAGCTATACTGCTTGCCGAATTCCAACAGAAATGTTAATTCTAAGTTTTCAGTGAAATCATATGTTAGAGATCAGTTAAAATTATTTATTTTGGAACTAGCTGAAGCAGAGAAACTGAACAAAATATTGCACTCCTGTTATCAAACATTGCGTGTGTAAAGGCCACCGCCAATTTCAGCTGAAAGCACTTAAATAAAAAGGTGAATTAGGACCACAGTCTTCAACACACACACACAAAAATACATTTATTTATTTTTAGAAGGAGGGATAAATAAATCTGTGATTGCTGAACATTTTCCTGAGATTACCTGTATGCTGCTATTTCAATGTCCAGAGCCATTTTCACATTGAGGAGATCCTGATACTCCTTCAGATACCTAGCCATTTCACTCTTTGTAGTTCTCAGTTCATTTTCTAATTTGCTGACTGTATCCTGTTGGGAGCAAGGACAGAGATAAGAGCACGAACTCAATCATTCTAGTAAAATTCAGAGAAATGCCACCATTGGATGGGTCAGAAGCTACATTCTTTCTTCCTTGACAAAGGAGAGTGTTCCTCACATTCAGTGGTCCAGTCACTTTGTAATGCTTGAAATTTCAAAAGGTATCTGAAACTTCTAACTTTTTTTCATGTAACCCATCACAAGCTTGTTTGCATTTCCACGAATTAAAAAAACCAAACAACTTTCAGGAGGGTTTGAAAACTAGTGTTGTATTTCTTCTAAGCCGGTCTATTCTGTATGCCCTATGTGTAATGCTGAGTACATGCCATATATTTAAAATACACCTCCTGCAAGATTCCTGGGAACTGTAGTTTGCTAAGGATGGTGGGAACCGTAGCTCTGGTAAACAACAGTTCTCAGAATGGGGGGGGGGCTACTTTAAGTGCTCTGTGTGTTCACAGCCTAAATCATTTTTTTTCCACTGCTGAATTTGTTGGCGTTATCCATGGTTAAGAATGGGGCTAGAAACCTGGTCCACAAATTTTGTTAAATTGACTTAAGATTTAAAGAAAGCGAGTTTATACCTAACTTGTCCTAACAGAACTTGCTTCTACATAATGGGCACAATCCACAGAAGCCCAAGACACACCTATTCCCTTTGCTTTCTTTACGTTACTTGCTGTAGATTGGAGAAAATCTTCTTATAATGCTGGTCTCATTCAAAAACCAACTAAGGCTACAAACTTATGAGAACGTCCCATTGAACTCACTTTGACTCACTGCTGGTATAGGTAAGTTTGCACTCTTGCAGCCCCTTAAAGACTAAGAAACATTGTCACATCAGATTTCATGGGCTAGATGAAGTGCTCCCAACCTTTTTGGGTCTGGGGGCACATCTAAGAGGCTCGCAAGATGCCTGTTTCAAAGAAGAAAAATTAGTGGTGCTCAAAACCTCCCCCCTCCCTCAAACCCAAAGAAATCAGAGATAGAAAGAAACAGGCAATACATCCCAAAACAGACACACTTTCCCCAAGCAACCAAAACAAAAATACACTAAAAAAAGAAGCTTAAAACTTCAGAGGGGCCTGGAACCTTGTTGAGTACCAAGGATTATCTGAGATTGTGGTGGTGCCCATGCATGCCATGATGGGAACCCGAGGGCTAGGCAGTGCATCTGGTGAAGTGGATTTGAGTCCTCAAAAGCTTGTGCCATAATAAATGTGTTGGTCCTTATATTGTGCAAAAAGACTAGTTTTGCAGCAACAGAGTAATATGGCTATGATTCTGGAACTTGTTTCATCAGATCAAACTCCAGAAACAGTCAATCTTAAATTCAGCTGCTGCTATTTTACTAAATTGTAGGTCAAATTGACAAGAATGTATTCTAGTTGCAGTCCTCAAAGGCTACATTTAGAGGGTTGTTTAATGCATAATGAGCTCCCGGTAGTTCTTTTTTCCTGCGCTTATCATTAATTCTCCCTGTATCTTTTGAATTTTTCAGCATGATCTTGCTAATGAAAGTCATGAAGAATTAACACAGTTTCCTCTTCATGGGATATCAGCTTTTTAGTTCAGTCTTCCAGCATAATAACAAATAGGCATGGCATAAACAAAGAAACATCATTTATTTTAATGTACTCCTTATGAAGAATCACACCCAGACTTAAAATTATATTCATGCAACTGAATAGTACTTTAATTATACATTGTTAATAGCATGTATTCGATTTTAGCTGTTGACTATAATGCTAAGTCCAGTGAAACTGGAACATTTGGTTTTATGCTAGTTTTAACTTCGTTGCTTATAATGAGACAAAGGATGCAACGGGACTTACTTCTGAGTAAGTATGCTTAGGATTGTATTGTATGTATAGTTTTGATCCAAAAGCTGAAGCTTAATCAGTTTATAGTTTGTGCTGCCTATTAAATTGTAACAGTTGTATCTGAATTAACTGGAGTATTTCTAATTCTTTGTTTTATAACAGGGAGCATTTTATAACAGATTTTTTTCTCTCTCTATCCCTGCAGATATCATTGAATCATAGATAGAATCATAGAATTGTAGAGTTGGAAGGTACCTGAAAGGTCATCTAGTCCAACCCCCTGCAATGCAGGAATATATTGAACTGGGAATATATTATATAGCTGCCAAAGTGAGGAGTTTCATATCAGTTTTTCCGTATCATTTCCATATCAGTTTTGAAAGGTGGTTTCCCCCCTCTTTTTTCATTTTGAGAACTTTCCATTTAAAAACAACAACAATGGAACTTACTATTTAATGTATTCTTAGCACTGTCCATTTATCTTTTTTTTCTTTTCTTTTTTTTGCTTGCAAGGCACCACAAAGTAACAAGAATTAAAACAGAAGAAAATTTAAGTCAGACGCATTACAAGGGTTTAAGTTCATTTGCTCTTGTTCTTACCAAACTTTGTTCAATAAATTATGGGGTGACCCTGAATTTAGGTCTTAGTGTAACAAGAAATTGCATTTTTAAAATCTCTACCAACTCCAAAACCTCCCATACAGCCTAGTTTAAAAATGAATTGAGCTAGATAAATTGGATTCTAGATTTAAGATTTTGATTCTGAATTATGCCATATCACGAGGGACTAGATTAGAATCAAGGGACTAGATTAGACTCAACCTCCAGTCATATGATGCTACAAAGATTATTTAGTTCCCTTTAAATATTAAAGACTCCAGGGAATAAGTTGGCTTAAATCTAGATAGGTTTGTGTGGTGTGTGGTGATACAGCTGGTGCCTTAGAATTTAAGAATAAAAGGGATAGACAACATTGTTACATGGCTAGGAATCTTGTATTGCAGCAAGCAGGCATTGATTTCAGACCCTGGTGTGCTGGACAGCTCCCAGGTTAAACTGGGTGGGGCAGAAGTGGAGGCGGATGTTGGTGCATCCTCCAGCAGATGTTGGTGCATTGCACCATTACCTACTTGGAGGCTGCTGCCACGTTTTGTTGGGATCAGAAAACCTAGCTCTTTGTCTAGGACAAGAGACAAGAATTACATTCTCCAAATGTATTAAATGGAATGCATGAATTTTAGCCAACTTAAACACTTTAATCATGGCAGTATTGAACTTGTGTGTATCCCAAAATGTCTCAAACATCTAACATGGACTGATTGAGAAGCAAGTTATCAAGGGGTGATGGATACAGGGGACATTGCCATTTGATGGGTGACTTTTACAAACTCAGCAAGATTTGCCTGGTGGTGCATCTATGGGCAAAAGTGACAGATAATACATAATAATGCCTAAAGTGATATGCGGTGGAAAGGACCTGTTTCCTTCTCCTTAGATGTGTCATGTGGTAACCTGATAAAGGGCACATATTTGATTCAAAGGGTGTTGTGAAGAGACTGACTGTTATTTGCCGCCACCACTTTCTCAGAACCTCCTAAAGACCCAAACAAGCAGCCTAATTCACAATCTAAGCAGAATTTAAACAGATATTTGACATTTGTGTTTACTATGACATAGCCCAACTACCAAGTGAGTGCTTATGGGACTGCACAGATAAATCTCATGGAAATCCATGAGGTTGGCCAATGTTTTCTAAAGCCACTTTCCTGGAAGCATAGTCCATTAAAACCATGTACCCAAGCAAACTTCTTTCCACTTTGCATTATAATAGGCTAAATCCCAAGCATCTTGAGCTGTGGATTAGGGTGGGGTTCTAGACCACCCTCCTTTGGTTTCAGCAGAATTTACTTAAGATTCACAGTCAAATTACATACTTGCACAGGAGAGAAAAATGGGGGTGCAAAGTAGATAGTTGGCAACCTCATGCCACACATGGAGAGACATCATTTTTTCCTGCCCAATCATACAGTTCAGTCTTAATCTGACTGAATCTCCACATTGATATGGGGGGGGGGGAATGCCACAATACAAAATTGCTTGGAAAATAAAAATTGGGGATGGGGAGCAAGGAGAGAAACCATGCTAATACCTATTCATTAGCAAGCACACATGCCACGTGGACTGTTATTAAGAGCACTGGGCTATTTCTATGCATTTTCTAGCTGAACAAGTTCTGGGGTTGACTCACTTCAAGCTTGTGTCTCAGGGGTCCCAAACACTCTACCTTAAATGAGAAGATGCCACCTGGAAGTAAGTGCCATTGATGGCATCGGAAGTGGCTTCCCAGTCAGTGCTTAAGAAGTCTGTCAAGTCAGAGTGGGTCTGCCTTGTGCAGCAGAAATGTCTGCTGCAGACACACCCATTGTGTCCTCTGGCAAACAGAAAATGTCTGGATGAGAGCTGCACATCCTTACACCCACCTTGGACCCTATCATTGGATAGCAGCTGCCCAAGCCAAAGTACAAAGGTGTTGAAAGACACACACAACTGTGCTTTTCAAAGTCTGAAAGCAGTGTGTCTATGCTGGAGAAGGGAAAGTTAACCTTTTCCCCCTGTGCTTTTTTCTCTAATAAAAATCCTGTCACCCATCTTGGGGGTGGGGAGGCATATCCACACTCATGGCTGCATAAAGCATGGAGACACTCTTTCATACAAAGGAAACAGAGTGGGGGGGGATGCCAGCGGTAGCTTCTCCCCACTCAGTTGCAGAGGAGAGGATACCTCCTCCCATGGGCAGGGTGGGGTGGGTGGCTGCTACCTTGAGGCAGTGAGGTAGTTGCCCCAGGCAGCTGATTTTGAGGTGTCATGAAAGGGCAGCAAACTGATAGTTATTAATCATGCACTCCAATGCAGATCTACTCAGTGAGTATAGGACTGCAGTTGTACTTCGTTTCCTTCTGGGAGAGGGGAGAGAAGGACACCATTTGCTGCAGGGCCTTGGACAGCAAAAAAAAAAAAAAGTGTATTGGGTTGGCTCCTCTCATCCATGCTCTCTCCTCCCTTCTGTCTGGTTGCAAATGAAATGCGCTCAACAAAAACTCCACCAGCATCCTAAGAGCCAGGGATTGGAAACCTGCGGTCCTCCAGAGGTTGTTGCACTCCACTTCTCATCAGTCCCAGCCAGCTAAGCTGGTGGGCTCTGGAAGAGCACAGGCTCCCCATCCCTGGGTCGAGAGTGCCACCAGGACCTACAAATCCCCAGCACTCAGCCATTAAAGCTCAGTGGGTGACCTGGACCAGTCGCCAGCGCTTTGCCTTGGAAGAATGGTGGGGGTGTCCGTGTAATAAAAGGATAAAGACCCACCTGGAGGGAGGCGATGTCGGCGTTCTGCTTTTCCTCCAGCTCCTGCAGCTGCTTCTCGAGGGCTTCGTTCATGCCACGGGTGGCTTCAATCTCCAGCGTCTTGGCCTTGAGGAGGCGCCGGCTCTCGGAGACTTCGTCCTTGGCGGCGCGGACGGCGTCGGTGTTCTTGGCGGCGCTCTCGGTGAGGACGGTGAAGCGGCTGCGGAACCACTCTTCGGCGTTCTGCATGTTGCGGGCCGCCAGCTTCTCGTACTGGGCGCGGATGTCGCGCAGGGCGGAGGAGAGGTCCGGCTTGGCCGAGACGTCCATCTCGACGGAGAGGTGAGCGTACTGGATCTGGGCCTGGAGCTCGGCCAGCTCTTCCTCGTGCACCTTCTTGAGGAAAGCCAGCTCGTCGAGGAGGCTGTCGATGCGCTTCTCCAGCTCGGCGCGGGCCAGCGCCGCCTCGTCGGCGCCTTTGCGCACCTCCAGCAGGCGGGCCTCGGCGTCCTCGCGGCTGAGGATCTCCTCCTCGTAGCGCGCCTGCATGGCCCGCAGGGTCTCCTCCAGGCTCTCGCGCTCGCCCTGCAGCGCCTGCTTCTCGTGGGTGGCCTCCTCGGTGGCCAGGCGCAGCTCGCGGATCTCTTGCTCGTAAAGCGCGCGGAACCTCGACGGCTCGGAGTGCTTCTGCCGCAGCACCAGCAGCTCGGCTTCCAGCACCTTGTTCTGCTGCTCCAGTTCGTGGACGCGCTCGATGAAGCAGGCGAAGCGGTCGTTCAGGTCCTGCAGCTGAGCCTTCTCCTGGCTCCGGATGGTCTTCAGGTCGTTGCTGATCGCCGCCACCTGGGTCAGGTCCAGGCTGTCCACCGAGGGCAGCAGGGAAGAGGACGACGACGTGTAGCTCCGGCGCACCGACACCGACGAGACGGGCGCCGAGAGGCTCGAGTAAGTGGAGCGAGCCACCCCATAGCCGCCGCCGCCGCTGCTGCTCCGTGCGCTGGACAGGTGCACCCGGGAGCTGTCCACGTAGCGCCGCTTGTACGACGGGAAGTAAGTCTCGTAGCCGTAGGTGCTCATAGTGTCGGCTGCCGCTCGGGCGCTGCGAGAAGGGGAGAAAGAGGAAGAGGAGAAGATGCCGCCGTCTAACAGAAGGGGAGAGGCTGCTCTGCGGACTGCTGCTCACGCTCGCTCCTATTTATACGGCCGGGAGGCTCTGACGCAGCTACGACAGCTCGAAGGACTGGGTGCCAAAGGAGCAGAGCGAGGCTCTCTGCGCAAAGGGAAGGCGGGCAGGCGGAGCCTTTCCCCGGCCAGCCAGCCACCCCCTGCCTTTTCCGGCCTTCCCAGTGCAGGGGGCCCGAGTATTTCCCGTGGAACGACTGGGCCCCTCCCCTTCCCTTTTAGCCACGCCTAGTTCGCAACCCGTCACGTCTTTTGTCGTGCTGTTTCTTTAAAGATGCAATTTCACTGTTACTATTACCTGCAATAAAGTGTTGCAGTGCATAGCACGACTGTCCAGGGTTCTAGCCAGCCACGCCCTTTCCCTGGACTTTCCTTCCCCGCCCGCCCGTTATTGGACCCAAACAGTTAGCCTTATGAGCCGACTCTGCAGGCTCAGGCTTCGCCTCGCTAAGGTGTTTTTTTTTGGGGGGGGGGGGGAATCGTCTTCCCCGGAATGATGTTCTGCACCTATACAAAATGTAGAGGTTCCCCCTTGTCCGTGAGTGGTGCCATTTTGGCCACGTAAGGATTAAATCTCTGGGTTTCTATTCTCATTATTATATTTTTATGTTGATAGCTTGATGAAAATGGCCAGGTCAATATGCAGCAGTGAAAAATCTAAATCCCCTGGTAAGAAATGTTAGGAAAGGGACACAGCTGAATGGTCAGTGTGACAAGAGTTGCATTCGTAGGGCGGCTTGTTCCTTCCCCGACATTTCTGTAACTGTTAATTTCCACAATATATCTGAGCTTTCACACAATGCAAAAGCCACTTCCAGAAATATAGTGGAATACAGATAAAGTTTAGTGCTCATTTCCATGTTATGTTCTATATTCTTGTGTATTCTGGAAGTGGCTTTAATTCATATGAAAGCTCAAATATAATGTGGAAATTAACATCAGGAAAATGGAATAAAGTGCTGTGTGAATGCAGCTACTTCATATAAATCTACAGTTGGGCATGTTTCTGATACTACTACTCCCTGCCTGCCCACCCCCACTCAGGTGCATTTAACCCTAATTCTCCTTTACAGTGGCAGGTATGGCAGTGAATTAGCTAGACCAGCATTCATTTCCCGTGGTGAGCTGGATTAGAGCCAATAAATTGAAGCTCATTCCAGATAAGATTGAAGGATTGTGTGTGGCTCCTTTGACTGGATAGGTGGAGTTCAGCCTGTGCACAGTTTGGGGGTACTTCTGGGTCTACCGCTGTCACTGGAGGCACAAGAGTCTTTAGTGGCTCAGAGTGCCTTGCACCAGCTTCTGCTAGTAGCAACTTTATCTGGGTTGGGATAGTCTGGCTTCTGCTGCCTAAACTCTGGTAAACTCTAGGTTAAATTACGGTAATGCATTATATATGGGGCTGCCTTTGAATGTGACTGGAGTGAGGTTTGATCATATAACACCAGTCCTCACCCAGCTGCATTTTGTGTTCTCATTTTGCATTTTTATCTTGTGAACCACCCTGTGATCTTCAGATGAAGGGTGGTATACACATTTTATTAATTAACAAAACAGCAACAACAATAACAATGTTCACCATGCCTTAATCTGAGCTAGAGCTAAGCTCCAGAGTTGGTTCTCTGTGCCACAGCATGGCAGGATGTCGTTTTTAAACATACATGCCTCTAAGGTATTTATTTGCTTCCTTTCTCCCAACTTTCTGCTAAGTATCTCTGCCCCCTCCTCTCACAACACCCTTTGAGGCAGGTCCAATTAATAGTGGCACCATCTTACGAGCTTCGTGACTGAGTGAGGATTCAAACTTGAGTCTTCTCAGTCCCACCGCTGAGCAATGCCAGTCAAGCCTAAAAGACACAACGTCATCAGAGATCCAGATCTCTAAAACAAAACTAAACAAAACAAAACACAATACAGTGGTACCTCAGGTTACATACGCTTCAGGTTACAGACTCCGCTAACCCAGAAATAGTGCTTCAGGTTAAGAACTTTGCTTCAGGATGAGAACAGAAATTGTGCTCCGGCGGTGCAGCAGCAGCAGGAGGCCCCAGTAGCTAAAGTGGTGCTTCACGTTAAGAACAGTTTCAGGTTAAGTACAGACCTCCGGAACGAATTAAGTACTTAAGCCGAGGTACCACTGTATAAGAATCTGCCTTATACCAGATCAGACCAGTTCAATATTGTCTCCTCTGATTGGGCAGTGCCTCTAAGATCCACAGCAGCCAGGAGTCTTTTCTGTCAGCAGCTACCCCAGGTGGGCTGAACTATAGCCTGGCCTTCCAGAACTCACACCCCCACCCCATAAGCCACACCCCTCACTAACCCTCATTGAGTGCTTCTGCCTGGGTGAAATGTGTCCTTGAATTTTGATAACTTGCTTCCCAGAATTTTGATAACTTGCTTCCCATAAATGTCTTCCTTTTGTGTGGAATGTAGCCTACTCTACACAGAGGTGTTCCTAGGCACCATTTTGCCCTTGGCAAGGAGCTGTGTTGGTAACCCCCCCCCCTAAAATCACTTGCACCTTTGGCAGAGGAGTCTGTGTGCCTTGCCAAGCCACCCAGAGCAGTGGAGGAGTGGACTGGGGAGCATGTGGGCAGGTGGGCTTCTAGTCACTCCAAGCCAGAGTGGAGAGGCATGGTTTTTGGTGCACGCACAAATACACACACCCCAGGCAGGTGCCAACCTAACCAACCCTTAGGTATGCCCCTGACCATACAGGGATACACAAGCTGGATGGTCACCAAGCTGAGCTCAGTGTACTGTCTGCAGTGAGCTAGGGTGTCGTTATTATTATTATTATTATTATTATTAATACCCTTCCCATCTGGCTGGATGGCTTGCAGCACATAAAAAATGGTAAAACGTTAGACATTAACAACTTCCCTAAAGAGGACTGCCTTCAGATGTCTTTTAAAAGTAAGATAGTTGCTTATTTCCTTGACATCTGATGGGAGGGCGTTCCACAGGGTGGGCACCACCACCAAGAAGGCCCTCTGCCTGATTCCTTGTAACCTCGCTTCTTGCAGTGAGGGAACTGCCAGAAGGCCCTTGGAGCTGGACCTTAGTGTCCGGGCTGAGCAATGGGAACAGAACAGAATATGTTATACAGACTATACAATAAACCAATGCAACAGTAGAAACTAAAAGTAAAATAAAAATTACAGTTATACTAAAATAATTCCTAACCCCAGCTAAACGTTTATCTCACCCCCCAACACAACAATAATAATAATAATAATAATAATAATAATAATAATAATTGCCACAGATTAAAAACTATTTTAAAACATTTAAAATGTAACCTGTATTTTCCCAAGTTTCTAAAATTTCTTTGGATACTAACTACAAAAATGATATTCATTCCATTATCTTTGTTGTTGTTGTTGTTGTTGTCTTTAATTTCCATTTTGATGTTATTTGTGCTGGGTAAAAATCAGTGGACACCATTTTTCTTTGAGGCAAGGTGGTAAGTGGCTAGCACTTCAAATACTATAAAAATTATAAGCACTATATATATAACAAAAATAAAATATAGCTATAAACTGTAAGAAACCAGCTGGATATTTCTTTTATTTACAACTTTTATTTATTATTTTTAAAGAGTAAAAATTTGTATTCTGAAATAAAGAAAGGGTACCAAAATATAAGAAATGCTACAAAGCCAAAAAAAATTTACTAAAGGTAAAACTTGTGAGAGTTCTTCTGCGTTTTTTGTTTTTGTTTAGCTTTGGCTTGTGCAACCATAGCAAACTAGCTGAAGGATCAAGATTTTTTAGCAATGCCATTCTTGATGGATCAGACAGCAAGTGATGTGAACCTCTCATCTGCCATGGTAAATACAGGTGTGGTTTGATGAGCTTCCATTTTAAGAAGCTCACCACTAGCAAATACAACTGGAAGCCTCAAGAGAATTTGTAGTGCTACCCAGCTATTTGGTAAGACACCAGTCATTTTGGTGCCATGCGCACACTGCAGGGCATCTTGTGGTTAGTCTATTCCAGGTAGTAGAGTGCGACAGAGATGGCCCAGCTCAACACAAAGATCTGCACCCCTCAATGTTGAAGTGGTTGCCATTGGTGGTGCTCTGCATAGATTCATACAATGAGTGGTAAGCATCTGTTCTGGTAGCTTTTCAAGGTGGTACAAGAATCTCCATGTATTTTGTGAGATTCAGGCTGCTCAAATTGCTCTTCAACTGAAACATGAGCAGTGTCAATAAGAGTGTAGGAGGACTCCTGTTTAAAGATTTCTTCTGGACACTGGCGGAGGAAGAGGAGTGGGGGGGAGCGCCCCACCCCCAGCAGCGTGATCCCAGCAGGGTGCCATCGCGGCTGGCTCCCCCCCACCTGCGCTGGGCGCCCCGCCCCCAGGTCACACCCCACAACCCTGTGGGCAGCGTGCCCCACCCCCAGGACGCACACCAGCCCCACCCCCGCCTGCTCTCCACCACTGCTTCTGGATGACTGCACTCCTTACAGTGTGTCTGATTCTCATAGTCATACTGCCTCCTCTTGCAGTGCTTACAGGGGCTCAGCATCAAGGGTTTCTGTCACTGTGCTAAAAACCACCTCTGCATAATCACTTTCCCTGTACAATTTGATGAACACCACACATTTTCTCATGAGGAAGGCAGCAGTTATGATGTCCATTGTGTGGGATACTTATTACAGTCAAATCAACAATTCATGTTTTCCTAGATAGGCACATAATAGGGGCTGAAGCTCATTGAGTTTCCCTGTAGTATTTACTAGAGAGATCTGCGAGATCACTTCCCTTTATATGCCCAGAAAAGAAAGAGATGTATCTTAATATGCTCCTCCCTGCCTGTGGACACACTCGATTTCCCATCATGTCTGCAAAATGAAAGCATCAGTCTGAGCTCCAGCTCAGGCTCCATTTTTAAGCTAGACTTTGGTATCTGTTAGTCACTCAATTAGCACTTTAAGCTTGCCTACATCATGCTGCTGTATCTGCTATTCTTGAAGACGTAGACTGAGTAAACATTATTTTCACTTTTTTTCTATATTGTCTGTGTGTGGTTATTATTTTGAGGGGCAGAAAAGGGGGAAATACCAGGAAAATCCAGTCTGCCTTAAAGCATCCTAGATTATTATTACTAAAGGGTTAAAACTAGCCTATCCAAGCTTCCTTTTAAGCTGCAAAAGCATCGCACTCTGCTGAACTCACTAACATGAGGAACAAAGGATAATATCTAATAAATATATCCTCTCCTAGCATCTAATCAAATCTCAACACACTGTAGAGCATCACAAATCCATACTTGCAATATTCACATACAAGAGAATGCCGTACTATCTCAAGAACCTGAAGTCCATTGGCTGGTCTGCTAGGCACAGGCTGCATGGCAGAGACCTGCATCTCCTTGAGGCAACTCTGCTACTTCCATCAGAACATCATGAACTTCTTTTGTTTGAGATCAAATAGGCTTCATGTTTTCTAGGCGACTTTCCTGGAAAGTGCTACTCAGGGCTTCATTGTGAGGTTGGGCACATTGTCTTCTAACATCTGCCACCACTGAACAAATAATAGCACCAAGATGCACTGCAGCGTGCCAAAAGGGTTAATAGAATCCTTTGATGAGGAGGATGCATCTGAAACTCATTAGTTCAGTGTACGTAGTCTTGCCTGGACATCTTTTCTTCCACTCTTCATGTTGGCACCATTATCATAAGCTTGGCTGTAGCAGTTCTTACTGTTAATGTTGTTGTTCCTAAGCGTTTTCAGCAAGAGTTCCAGTTTATTCATGAACTGCCCCCAGTCCTATGAAGCATTATTTTACACAACTCTTTCCTCCATCTTTGTCAACAAATCTCACTATAAATGGCATTGTCTTAGAATGACTTTCATCACACATTCAATCCCATATTACAGAGGAATATTTAGCTTTGTCCAACCTGTTTTATATGTTCTCTTAACACTTCCTGGGCCATAAGGGATATCAGTTCATTCTAAATGGTTTTTCCAGTGGTAATCACTACACTCCTTTGAATATACATGTCACAAATGCTCTCCCATTACCTCATCATAGTTGCCAAGCAGCTGTACACACCCCAGAAAATTTTCGCTCTGTGAGCAGCTTGTTCAAACATTCCTAGAACGGCCTAATATTCACTACGGATCTGAGCATGACCCTCCAATGCTGAATTTCTTGGTTTATAACTGACCAATGTTCTGCATCAAAACACTTGCTCAGTCCCTAGATTCTGTTTCTATCTGCTTGCAGTATGCTATGAAATGCTTGGGTGACTTTACGTGCTGTTTTAGAATGACATTCAGGAGTTTCCAGCCATTGGTCTCAATACTCACAAGTGAAGAACTGGCACTGGCCTAAAAAAATACCTAAAAATGTTTTGCAGCAGAAGCAAAAAAGATGTGCTGATACTCTTAGAATTGATAAGCCAGTGCCTTTTCAGCATGTCATCTCACCATTGCCTCAAACCCTTTCAGCTAAAGCTTTCAAGAAACAATGTCTGTTGTCATCTAGAGAAAAAGCCATATCCTTGATTTCACTCAGTCCATTGGAAAGCACTAAATCTACAAATGTACAATGTGTTCCTTTTGGCCAAAATGCTTAATTAGAAGGACCATTGCAAGGTGTAGTAGGTTGGGACTCCTTCAGTTTTACTATTTCAGCAGGCCTCTCATTGGAGACAGAGCTCTCACAGTCTTCTACATTAATAGAAACTGAATCACCTACACTGTTCTCACTGAGCATTTCCAAACTTGCACTATCGCTACTTGAAGAACTGACTCCTTCAGGAGGCTGAAGGAACTTCTTCATACTATCTCTCTTCCTACAACTGTTGCTGTGCTTTGCACTTTCTATTCTGACTGCTTTTTAGAATACATTTTCACAAATACCCCAGTCAAGGCACTGATGTATACACCATACCACACCACCATGTAAATGGTATGGTGGTATCAGCCTCACTTGTGCTACATAGTTAGTTGGCAAACAAGGCAGCTGCTAGGCTTGGGTACATGGTTTACTGCAGCTCTTATGTTTTTAATTTTCAAAGTTAAAAAGAAAAAGCAGCAAGAGGTGAAGACTAAAGAAGAAGCTTCAATATGGGAGACGGTAGTATATGGTGATGGTGTCCCTTTAAGATTGATTACACCACTGCAACAGAGGGCCTATGTCTTCTAGCTGAGGAGGGCATGTTGGAGCTCAGGCAGGAGCAGGAGCCATTTTGTGTGTATGCTGAAGATAATAAAGAATGAGAGTCATCCTTTGAGAGTTTATCTGGGGGAGGGGGGACCAGAATTAAACATAAACTGTTTATAGACATCAAAGACAGAGGTGGTTTCTCTCTGCCAGACAAAGTTAGATTATGAAGCGTCCTGCCTCTGTTGGATACGTAAATGGATGATGTTACAAAATACAGATTTGTTGGCTCTTGAGGGCTTTGACAACAGATTCAGTTGGCATGCATATTTATGTTATCAAAAAGTCAAAGTGCATAGAGGTTTTTTAATAATAAGTATTTCGTAATATGTATTTCATAATAATAATAAATACTTATTTCGTAATAAGTATGAGGTGTGGGATAAATACAAAAATTTGCTGGAGCAAAAAACACCCTCATGGCTATCACCATTAGAGGCAGTTTTGTTAAAGAAAAAGAATATGAGGAAAAATTGGGCAACATATAAAGAATTACTTGAGGAGGAGGAAGGTCAGTTGAAATTGAAAAAAAATGAAGAAATAAGAAATGATTTATTTTATTTTATTTTTTGTAAATGCTTTTTATTAACTTATTATTACAGCACATACACACACAACACTTAGAAAACAAACAACAAAAGAAAACACAAAATAAATGATAAACATATATCCATAAATCCGCAAGTATCTGCACACATACTATGTTATCCAGTCTTTAGTTCTTATTCTATTCTAATAGACTTCCTTCCTCCTCAATGCGGGTCTGATTTTAAACTTGATAAACTTCCTTTCTCATTTCATCTTTTCTACCCTTCTCCATATGTTGTATTTGTAAACCATATTTTGTTTTGCAAAAATTATTTGAAGCAAGTCCAGATTTTAATCTGAGGGCACTGTTGTTGTTTTTGATTAATCTCTGTACTTTCCCCACTCTTTTTGAAATTTTTGTTTAGACTGTCCCCTAATTGCATCCATCATTTTTGCCAACTCAAGGAAATCAAATAATCTCTCTTGCCTCTCTTTTTTTGTTTTTTTTTATAAGATATTTATTGAGATTTTCAAAATGTTACAATATAAAAATGAAAAAGAAAAAGAAAATACAAAATAAAAGTGATTAAAAACCACTCAATTTTTCCATTACCTATTTTTCCTTAGCTTGTTTCCCGGACCTCCTCATACCTCCCTTTTTTGTATTCCAGTTCAATTTGTTGGTTCAGCAAATCCTTACCCTCTTTATTTATCCTAATCTTTGGTCTTAAAAATAGTAACGTTAGATTTTTACCTATTAATAACCCATTTTTCATATTCCCTTAAAGCATTACAGCTGAAAACCACTTAATTTCTATCCAACATCATTCTAACATTCATTAATTTTACAATATTTCTGTAGATAGTCTTTAAATTTCTTCCAATCTTCTTCCACCGACTCTTCTCCCTGGTCTCGGATTCTGCCAGTCATTTCTGCCAGTTCCATATAGTCCATCACCTTCATCTGCCATTCTTCCAAAGTGGGTAGATCTTGTGTCTTCCAATACTTTGCAATGAGTATTCTTGCTGCTGTTGTGGCATACATAAAAAATGTTCTGTCCTTCTTTGGCACCAATTGGCCGACAATGCCCAGGAGAAAGGCCTCTGGTTTCGCCTCTCTTTTTTTTTTTTTGTTAGTACTGTTTCACTTTTCCAGTTTTTTTTGCATTTAGTATTCTTGCTGCGGAAATCATTTAACCGACAGGTTACAGTGGCCACCAGTGGTGCATGAATGCCACCTAAGATTTCCTGGCAAGAGGCTGCCACTACCAGAGAGTAACTTTCAAGGCATTTGCCACAGGTGAAAGCACTGAAGCGGTGTGAGGCCAGGCCTTAAGGGAGTTGCTCTTCCTGAGTTGAGTATTGGAGAAAGGCCAGCAGTAGCAGCAGAAGGAAGCTCCACCAGAAGAGAGTTGAATCTGCAGAAGTGCAACCTGATACCATATTCCCTTAGGGTTGCCATGCGTCCGGGAATTCCTGGACATGTCCTCTTTTGGGGGTCATACATACCCATCGGGGGGGGGGATTTTACATTTTAAAGCAAATGTCCTGGATTTTGAGTTTTTTAAAGAAAGATTGGGGGGGGGCTCTGGTTTCAGGCTCTTACTCTGGCTCCAGCTCTGGTGTGGGCGACCTGGGCTCAGAAGCAGTGGAGGGGCTATCGGGCAATTGCCCTAAAAAAGCTCAACAGCTTTTTGTGTCCAGATTTTTACCACTTGAAATATGGCAACCCTACTCCTACATGAGAAAAAATGAAGCACATCTTTCTGTTTGATCCTATCAGAAAACCAAAGTTATGGTTTTCTCAAGAAAATATAGGCCCCACAGTTGGCGTATGGACAATCAGCCAATCGAACAGGTCAAAGCTTTCATATATTTGGGCCTTATCTTCCAGTCCACAGGGTCATGGGGAGCACACCAAAAATGTGCAAAAGAAAAAGCATCCCAAAGTGCCAAGACTTTGACTCGTTTTTTCCATACAAAGGGTGGCAAACATATACCATCAGCCCTAGAAGTCTTCCAAGCTAAACCCCTAGCACAGCTACTATACGGGGGCTCAGATTTGGACTGGTAACCACCTTAGCACTTTGGAAGCTGTTCAATCAAAGTTTCTAAGGCAGATTTTTTCTGTACCGCCATGTGTCCCAAACGCATCATTGAGACTGGAGGCAAGTCTCCCTTTAGTAGAGGTACAGACTTGGCAAAGAACTCTTAACTTCTGGCTCCGCCTAAACTCAAATCCCCCCAGTTTACGATCCCTAGTACTTCAAGACTCCCATAGAAGTGCCTGGCTTAAAACCGTCTATCAAAACTTCACTCTTGTGGCCTATCCCCACAACACCTACTCACTATGGGCCCCACTAAAGCAAACAGTCTAATTGGTCAACGTCTAAAAGGTATTGAGCATCAGAACCACCTGGCCACTATAAGGAAATTCTGCCCTTGGTATGTTCATTTTTGATTCTCTGGCCCCATATCTGCACAAACTTATTATCCCAAAATACAGATGTGCTTTTACACTTGCAAGACTGGATGTTTTGCCATCTGCGGTACTTGAGGGTCGATTCCAAAAGATCCCACCTGAGAAACGTCTTTGCCCCTGTGGAGATGGTAGCACCGAAACAGCGGCACACGTCCTCCTGTCTTGCACTCTCCACAAAGACCTGAGGAACAAGATCATCACCCCACTCGTACTAACCATCCCAGGGCGCTCAACCACTGCCACAATGTCCTTTCTTCCATCAGATCAAAATGAGCAGATAACAGCAAAGTTTGCTAGGTTCATAGCAGGGGAAATCAGAATAAGGGCCACTAACTGACAGCTGATTCAGGACTTTAAACTGTGCTCTTATTTCAAATTTCCCCTTCTGTGCATACTGTAATGTTTTACTGTTGTTATGGCCATTGGCTAATGCGAATAAAGTTTTATCTATGCAGAGAGCATACAATGAAAATTGGAATAAATGTTTATGTAAATTAAATAGCTGTTCTGGGTAACCTTTCACCAAAGTTTCTGTTTGATCGCAGGGCAAGGAGAAACTGCAAGTGAGAATTTGTAATTCATGCATGCAATAATTATGGCATGTGGCCCCCCAGCTTTGTATACACACACAGGTCCTTCAAAGGAGAAACAGCAGCATCACACCTGCACCAGACCCTGTAAAGCCTCTGGTGGCCCTGCGAAGCTGACTGGGTAGGGAATGAAGTAACTCCTTGCTGAGGCGTTATAGATCCTGGGTCCA